ATTTGAAATATAGTCACTGAATTGAAATATAGTCATTGAGTTCAGTGATTTCTAATACGCCCTTTTGAAGGATACATTGCCACTGCATTCCAAATTGCGTTTTTTTTCTCCCAACACATACAACATGTTTGTACCGTTTTCACACGGGATATAAAGGCTTTGACCGCCACAAGGCCAAATTGATGCCAAACGTAAGTTGGATTATAACTCGTTTAAATCAGGTTTATGGATGTTAGAGGAGGAAAATCAGTATAGGTAGGTCATAAACCAACTATGCAAGCATCGGACATGTGCTCGCCTGAAATTTCAAAACCACAGAGGTTTCGTCTTGACAAAATGACAACACAAAAACAACGCGACTGGGTGGTTTCAGCCATCTCCGCATCATCCCAAATAGGAGGAATTCCACACATCATCAAAGCACATTTCCATGTTTGCTGGTGATATTCACATCATTTGATGAAATAATAATAAAACAAGAACATCTGGTGATATCCCATTGCCATTGCGAAATCATTCCTCCTTTGCCTTGTTGATGGACTTATGCTTCAAGAGCATGTTCTCGTTGATGGTGCGAGCACCTTTGTCTTTATCTCGCCTAGGAGACCGAGACGGACCCGTAGGGATCCAGTGGGGATATAGGTCCTATTTGGCCACCACCAATGGGCAACTAACCAACTTTCAATGTACCCCATTGACCCACAAACAAACGAGCACCACCTTTTCTGTTCAACGAAATTTTCATGGTAGCCTAGGTCCTAATCAGTATTCCAGAAAAATGATGCCAGAACGGGTTTGTTTTACCCCTGCATTGTGCTCTGCTTACCCTTTTCTGGTCTGGGTAACATGTTGAAATCCTTGGAAACCTACAATACTGGAGACTACTTGGTGGCTCATCCCACGGCTCGTAAGTGGGTTATAACCCCAGTTTTTTGAGTGGATTAACCCTACTTATCCCATTTATAACTGGGGTTATAACCCACTTACTAAGTGGGATGAGCCACCAAGTATATATATATATACCCATAGGATCCATGGTGCTGGTATATATATGCTAACATGACTGGGGTATATTGATGGGATCCATGTTACCATATATAGCAGCACCATGGATCCAATGGGATATAGGTTTGTCATGGTTTGTCCAAACCTTAAATGATGCAACCCTCAACTCTGCAAAACCTAATTTTCAAAAAAAAACAAGTCATGGGATCAACTAACAAATCGTGGCCAATCGACATCATGGCCTATCAGCGTTCGACAAATACATATATATATATATATTCCTATATAAATAAATAAGAGATTCAAGTGGGTGTGTCTGAAAATTGAAGACCCCTAAGTTCACCGGTGAATGATAAATTTCCCTCTTTAACTGGTCATTTGGTGTGTATCAGTGTATCCCCCATTTTCCAACACAGTGAAACATCATCTTGATGGTTATGAGATACACATATGTGTACAGTTAATATAAGTTATCTATATATATATAGTAATTATATTCTATGGTTACCGTTTCTCCAATCAATACATACCCCTATGTTTGATCGTTAAATCAGCAAAATCCAGTTGGTTCCCAGGAGTTTTCGGCCAGTGCCAGTGGCATGGTGTTGTTTCGTCCTCCTTCACGCCAGACGTCAGGGTTGGCCTCGGTTTTTTAGTGGATGGGGATGGGTACCCTCCGGTAATTTTGACATACAAGGTGGTGCCCCATAGTTAGCTAAGTTGGTTTATAACTCCAATAACTATGGTTTATGGTAGATATATCTATAGTTAATGGGGTTTATAAACCAACTTATAACTGGGGGGGCACCACCTTGTAGCAACTAGTTCGATATAGCTACCATCAGCCCTCGTGAAATTGGAGTTATATATAAACCAACTTAGCGTGAACAGCTCACTGGGGCACCACCTTGTAGCTATGGAAATGGGCATATGTTTTAGATGATTTACCTATAAACAAACAAAAAACATGTTTTTTCCAGAGCAGTTTTTTTGTCAACTTGGAAGGTCAACCCAATGTCACAAACTTCCCAAGAACTTGGAGGCTTTATGTCACGCATTTCTGGAGATATCTGGAGATATTGTGGATTATTGGCTTTACCACACCAAAATTGGGTACCCCGAATAAAAGATCCATATCCGGATCCGTCAACCTGTGACAACTTCCGTGTCGCATGAACACCATCTCTGTGCATGCGAGGTACCAATTTGGCCAACTTCTTCTCGCATTTTTGACCTCGGCTATGGCTGGAAAAAAAATAGCAACACCTGCCTAGCTGGCAATCCAAACTGGCTAGCCGAAAAATCACCCAAGACATCCATAAATTCACAAACCAAACACGATGTCTGGGAATGTCCCAAGCGCAGAAGATGCTGATGTCGACGAGCATCATCCGTCATCTCCAAAAGATCTTTGTCGCAGATCAGGTGTGTTCTGACGTTGTCAAAGATAGCATCGTCCCAAGCAGCCCCGTCTGGTCGGGCTTTCGATGGCTGGACAAAGATGGGTTTGCAGCCCCGTCGCTGGGAAAATAAAGTCGTTGATGTCACAGTTGGTGTCGGCTAAGCCCAAGTGCTGCAGAATGGAATCAATCACGTAGTCTGGCTCTTCTAGATCGTTGCTATAGACAATTTGGAGAGTAACCTGGTTGGTGATCTGGTTTCGTCACTACAATGACAGAATTCACAGAAAAAGCCCGAAGAGGATCATGTCGCTGAATGATGATTATTATCCCGCGCCCCAATGAGGTCTGGATCCTCCCGAAACTGCTCTTCCCATCTGACGGAGAACGTCCACAAGGTTGGGCATGTTCTGATCCGCAACTCACACAGAAAGTCATCAACAGGGTTGCCCTCTGATAATTTAACATAGCTATGGAAAATAGATCATTGATACGTGATTCACCTATTGAACATGGTAATTGTCCAGTTGACTATGTTAGTTTACCAAAGGGTACTCTGTCTATTTTTCATATATTGACAACGTAACTGCCCTGGTGAAAAAAACAAATGCCATTGCATCGCCGTCTCCGACCATTTATCGTACTGCTGGCAACAGGAAAGAAGAATAACTCAGCATTTGAGCTGAGTAAAACACCAAGAGGCTATAAACAAAATGTTTCACCAAGCTGAAATGATCCCTCGTTTTATGGGATATGGTTATCCCAATCCAAAGCATGGTGACGTCATCCCTAGGAAACATTTGCCGTGAAGACTTGGTAAAATTGATTGGATATTATGGCACGAATCGAACCAATTCAATGGGCTGATAATAAACCAGCTAACATTCACACATATATACATATATAATGATATATTAAATATATGTATTGTTACATATAGCTATATATTGTTAACTGTTAACTATGAATGACATAATTCACATTTCTTATGATTACACCCCAACTGTTCATGCTTAAATCACCCGTTTTCTTCCCCAAACTGTGGGGGCGGATCACCTTGCGCCAAGCAACACACCATTGCCGCCGGTCGCCTCGACGGTCGGGCCCGACGGCCGCTCCCACTTCTGGAGCCGTGACTGCAGATTGCGGATTAGTAGAGTTGCCCTCTGGTAATGACTAACAGTTTGCTATGGAAACTGGTTATTTATAGTAGATTTATCCACTAAAAATGGCGATTTTCCAGTTCGCCATGTTCGTTTACTGGAGGGTATGAGCCGTTACCAGTGATGTTTATGGTCTTTTAGATGAGGTTATCATTCCATAAGTCCATAAAGTGGGATTAGAACTGACTTATAACTGGTTTTCCGGGCCATAACTGTAGGTCAATTCAGATGGATTTCCCCAACAAAATCAATGATATTTGCATATGATTAGCTTAAATATATTGATGATATGTTTGAGAACTTGAATATTTGAGATATTACCAAATTAAAAATGACTGAACCTGTCAGATTATTCGGGAGATTAAGAATGACTGATTATCTGATAAACTAAGAAACATAGTAGTAGATCAGGAAATCATTATCTTAAGGTTTTCACAAAATGCAACTTTACTTAAGAATCTGAATCTACTATATAAAAAAAACTATAATGTCGCTTTTTAATATATATATATATACACTGTATATTTTTTGGCACCGTCATCACCAAGTTCTAATACGTGTTTCTCAACAAGCAAACGCACCCAACCTTGTCAGCCATAGGGGGTTAGGTATACGGAACCTCCGAACATATAATATCATAGTATATCTTGGATTCTGATGTGTACATTTGTATACTATATATATATATATATGTATTTGCTTTATTTATATATATATATGTATATGCTTTATATACATATATATATACTGTTACTGTATGTATACTGTACATACATGTATATTTAAATATATATATATGTATGCATGTTCACGACTCATTTATCATAACCTCCCAATTGACCATACTTACCATGAAAAACATGGCTTTTTCACCACAGACAATTGGAAAATGATGGTGTCCAGAAAAAAAAAGCCAACAATACTGCTGATATGCTGGTGATACAATGGGAATACAACCAAACATCTGATGTTTGGGGTGTATCCAATTTAAACATAGGGTAGTGACCATATCATATTGCAGTTAGATAAATGGCATATGCCCAGTCATATACGTTCTGTAAGGGTTATAGATCAGTTACAGTACTTCCTGGAATGCACATCAAAGTACCATTGTTTTGTTTTCTGTATATATATATAATATATACCTATATTTGCCTTGAGCACATTGTGATTTATTGTTGGGAATACCAGGGATACAACGTTCTGCAACTTATGTTTGTAAATTCCAGCCTGGTCAATGTCTTACCAATTCCCATCTTTCTGGACATATACGTTTGACACTACGAACATACTGACCACCAGCATCCTTAGCCTTAGCAATGATCCCGATGATCAACGAACCCACATCTCATCTGGATACCATGAACCTTTCAACAAAAACATCCATGGATCATCCTTCCAGTGCACTAAGTGATGGCGGCTTAAAATATCCTTTTCTTGGCAGAAGCCAATACTAAGTGCTTCGTGCGCCGCGGGTGCGAAGCTTGTCCTGCGCGGTTAAACAGAGTTGGGGCGATGGAACAGGTTTGGGTTTGACATTTGGAAAAAAATGCCCTCTGGTAATTCAATCTAAGAAAACTATGGATACGCACAGACCCCGTGGTTTGCCCGGACTGCAACATTGATGATTCCCTGTCGTCGAACATGAGAAGAGAAATTGCAGAAAATACTGCGTATACGTAGTGTTTTCTGCTTTCGGATTCAGAATTGTCATTAATTTTCAGGGTTTTAGGGTTTAGGGTTTTAGGGTTTTAGGCAGGGTTTTAGGGTTTTAGGGTTTAGGGTTCGTCGTCTGGTAAATCCCTGCGAAGGACAATATTTGAACTCCATTCTAACCTTGCGGGCAAACCATAGGGTCTTGCCGTATGGATAGATACACCAATGAATGGGCCATGTTCCATAGATATGTTGAATCGTCAAACTGCGCCATGGTCAAAGCTTCCGCTATTGGCAAGTTTATCCATCTAAAGCGGAGATTAGAGTAAGCCAAGAATGATACAAGAAATTACCCCCCCCCGTGGTTTCAACTGTTCGACGTGCAACATCATTTTTGTCCTGAAGACATGTCAATGTCCTTGTTCCTCCTACCGTTCTGGCCCGAAATATCAGTTACAAGGACTTATAACCCCATAAAAAAATGGAATGTATAATCCCATTGAAATAGAGTTATAACTAATAGCCATGGCCATTTCACTGTATATAATGCCCAAATCAAATACACTGCTACTTCAAATTCCCCGAAGTGACCATGGAACCCATCGCTTAAAATTCACCATTTATTCAATGATTGGAACTTGGAACCACGAAATGAGGTCTGGAAGAACAGATTTCCATGATTTGTCCATATTGCCATTTCTATCCATTTCAAATATATTCCAAAAGCAACCCCCCATTTGCCGAAAAGTGTGAAACCAGCTAAATTTCTGATTGGTAAATACATCAGGAGTGCACCATATAAACACCTTGTATTGTCTTCGCAACTTCTCACATGTTTCTGTTTGTAGAAGCAGTGATTGGTGTACCTGCATTGATCTGCATTGTATCCCCAAGATACACCACTATACCGCCATTTATGTTGCTTGAGTCCCTCATGATTGTTGCTTGAATCATCATGTTTGTAGCTTAAATCATTTTTGTTGCTTAAATCCGACTTTTTGTTGCCTAAACCACCATGGTTAAATCTAAGTTGCCTAAACCACCATGGTTAAATCTAAAGTTTAAGGGCCAGTACAGGATGGTGCCCCCCATTTATAAGTTGGTTTATAAACCCCATTGACTACCGTAGTTCGTCATATCTACTACCATAGAATTCAGCCACAGCCATATCTCAACTGAACACGAGCTCGAACGGGGGCCCCATCCTGTAGGGATAATGCCCATCAATCAACAGGCTTTAAAAACTTGAGCAGCCACTGCACGGCTACATGACTTGGGCTACATAGTTCAGAATCATTCAAAATTTACATTAATTCATAGTTCAAACATGTTCAAAATCATTCAAAATCTGCATGAGAATCCTACGGATCTGCTGCTCACAACAGGCCCCTCCCCAATTCTAAGGGCCAGTATATCACCATCGCCCCCATCGCCTCGCGCTGGATCTGCCGCAGGAGTTCTGCGTTGGTCTCCAGGGCGTTTTGCCCAGTGGCCTCGTCGAACTCCTGACAGGTATAAAACGCTTGAATTTAGTGGTAAAAATGGCCATGTTAATAGGGATTTAAAGGGATTTATAGGGATTTATAGGGGATATAATGGATATTAGCCTCTGGTTATGACTGACATAGCCATGGTATAGATGGCCCATAGAAATAGATGGTTTACCTATTACAAATGGTGAATCTTTCCATGGCTATGTTAGTCGTAACCAGATGGTAGCTGGTATAAAACGGGGATATGAAGTTTATTCGAGGATTAGTGGATTAATGTATTAGTGATAGTTTATTAAAGATTATCCATTAATCCTCTATTATAGTTTATAATGGACTATCTAATGTTGGATATATCTATAAAGAAAAACAAGTATCTAGCATAAAGGATCAATGGATTATAGATGGATTAAAGATGGATAATGTCCTTTATGATAATGGATTAAGAGCATTATATTATACTATATTAATATGATGAATGTATCCAGCATGAGAAATTACCTCACATACTATAATGGATATCATCCAACAATGTAAACCATGAGGTTGGATATATGTGTAACAAATATCTACAATAGAGGTTTTAAATGGTTTAATGGCGATTGAATGGTGATTTGTCATGGACTATCCACTAGAATGATGTACATCATTACATGTGTACATGTATAATATCATGTCATATACATATATACAGTATCTATACTGTGTATATATATACACTTACATATGCCAATCATTATCATGGGAATCATAATGAACCATAGCTTAGTTTAAGGGAACATCGGAACCGGAATCCCGAAAAAAAACTGATATATGTCATCTCAAAAAAGCATGGTTTCTGCGTAAGATTTCCCAACTAAACCGTTGGGATTCAAGTGATTTAACCAGAACAAATCAGATTTAGGAGTTGGTAAACCAGCAGTGTTTGCTGTTTTCCTGTGGAACAGATGGCACATTTATTTTGATCTACTTTGATTATTTCCTTATACTTCAACATGTAAATAACATGGTGGTTTTCGTGGCATTGACAAAACTATTGGGCATCAACAAATGAGCTCTTCCAAGGTCACCATCCCTTCCCACCAGTGAAATGGCCATGGCTATTAATGAAATAACTGGTTATGAATCTATGGGATTATACATAGACCATTTTTTTGATGGGGCTATTTCAGTACAAACATAACTGGTATGACTCAAGCCATAACTGCAAACCCTTGAACGGGGATCAGGATCATCCTTCCACAGAATTTATGGACATTTTAGATAAACAAAACACGGGCTGGACTGGTTTGGACGATTTGGACATCTCATGGACATGAAAAACGTGTAGCACAGCCATAACACCAGTCTTGTTGCTGCAAATACCTGATACGGTCTACCCCTGCAGTTTACCAGAATGGTTATAGTAAGTAAGTCCTAAAAAACAATCGAAACGTGACTTATCACTAAATCTAAGTGGGAGTTTAACTAAGTTTAATTTTGATTTTATCATATGTTATCTATCTTGTTGGGCTTGACTATAGAAAATCTATGCATTTGATCTCTTAATTGACCCATTTTAAAGGGTAGCCACCGCCTCAGGCCTGCATGGGTAAGCGTGGTGCCAGGTTGTCGATGGGCACCATCTGAATGGCCTGGGGGCTTGTCAGGGTATGCAGCCTACCCTCTGGTAAACATACAAAAAACGTTGGAAAATCACCATTTTTAATGGACAAATCAACTGTAAATGGCCATTTTCAATAGCTATGTTTGTTTACCAGAGGGTAGTCATATGACCATCTCTTAGAATGGCAAAGACTCATGCATTTTCCCAGTTGAAGAATCCTAGAGGCCCCTTCAGCCACCAGGCCCAATCATTTATGGCAAGGCCTGTGGGTGAGCTGGTCCATGCTGGTCCCCTTTGAAAAGAATAGATCCTGCAGAGCTTGTGGATATGATGTACATTGATGTTTTTGCTGTGAATATCCCGGGCTCAAGCTCCTCTACTGTACACCTTGTGTTTTCTTAATGAACGGACTCTCCTGTATGTTCTTTATTCTCTCTTGGTTCTAACTAACCCTACCCTTCAGAGGCCATATCCACTTCATTGAAACTGTTTCAGGCTATATTAGCTCGCAAGAAAAATAGAACAGTGTTTCCAAGATGGTGGTTTGATGATCTTATCCACATATTTTCCAGTCTAGCTTTTCCATCTGTTGGCCAAAAAAACATCTCCGTGAATCACGGTGCGAAAAAGGCGGCTGGATCGTCATCTCACAGCCTGTGTGTAAAGCAATTTCCCATGATATATCATGATATAGACCTGCAATTGCCATATGGTTCTGGATCAAAACCCTGGGTACCCGGATGGTACCCACAACTGGGTAATGGATGTTAATGGATGGGTATTCTTCCAAATATATCAAATATGGTGTATATATATAATTTCATAGCTTTTGATTCCAATGATTCCAATTGTTTTTGGTGAAATCATGTCGCCCAACCTCAGCATTCTCTCGAAGCCGCATCAAGGAGTCGGAATGGCGTCGCGCCTGCGGCCCCATGCTGCAACATGTGGGCTGTGCGGAAAAGTTACGAACACCTGGATTTGTTTGGCCCGATATACCAATTATAAATGGTGATTAATAGTGTTTAATAATGGTTAATAGTGGCTAATGGTGATTAATGATGGTTATAACTCACTGATAAACGGGATTGTACATAAAACAATTTTATGGGGCGACTTAGTGACTTATTATCACTGGTATTTCGGGCCATAATTGTAGAAAATAAATGAAATTATGAGGACAACATCCTCGAAATACCATCCTGGAAATACGTGGCATATTCTCCAACAATTAGAACTGGGGGGCACCAATCATCCCCCGGTAATCAAACATGGCAATGGAACATCAATCATTTCCCAACACATACAAGGTGGGCCCCCCCAAACAGTTAAGTTGATTTGTGACTTCAATAACTATGGTTTATGCTAGATACATCTAGAATTCTATAGCTAATAAGCCAATAACTATATAAAACAGAGAAGGATTGTACTGTAATTCCAACTATTTATAGAGATATTTTGATATGTTCCACCGTTTTCCTGTGATTTTCCCATGACAAAACCTCAATTTTCAGACCAGATCAGCCACCACTCGCGCGTTTCCCAACCTGCTGGGCTTGCCACAGCAACACGCCGTAGCTCAAGCTGCCACAGCACAGGCCTGCAGATTCTTCATGTGTAGAACAACGACGACGACAAGAAGAAGAACAGAAACAACAGCAATACTAGCAAGAACAGCGAATTCAATAAGAAGAAAAACGACATCGATAATAAAAAACAAGAAGAAGAACAACAACAACACCATAAACAACTGGTATGACACGGGTAGTTCATTGATGTTCACCTCACCAAATACAGTACTTCTTGTGCTACGGAAGAATCCCTGTCTGTATATCCATCACCAGTTTTATACAAGTCTGTTTATAAATCCCAGGAATATTATGGTTGTATCCCCCATAAACCCTAGAATTCACAAAGTTATCTTCAGCTATCTAGCCACCAAAAGTAAGTCTGCCTCTGTATACGGATAAATTGTTTCGGGCTGAAGGTGGAGATGGCTATGACCAGCTCTTACACCAATGGGAATTTCAGGATCCTAAAATGGAGGTACGTTAGTACCATATTTTTGGCCATATTTTGTGGGGATATTCCCTTACATAGGCCTTACTTGCGATCCTGGAATTCCCATTGATTATATAGATGATGTAGGGAATCCACATACCTGGGGATTGTGCGAATCTTGCCGCATCCAATTCATCCTTTGAGATTTCGAACTTGCATGGATGCCGAATCCACAGTGATGGCTGGCCGTGGCTATTAGTGAAATAACTGGTTATGAATCTATGGGGTTAACCATTCCAGTTTTATGGGCTTAGTTCAGTACAAACATAACTGGTATAACTCGGGCCATAACTCTAAAATATATTACCCATTAATATTCCATCATCAATTCCCACTAATATTTGCATTAAATCACAATGACAAGCAAATATCAAGTTCTGACCACAAAAAAAGGTCCCCAATTGAAGGCCGCTTGGTTTCAAGGTATGGGTATCCACGGTCAGATAAAGAAATGTCTAAGAGTCCAGTCTACTTACTATTCATCCAATACGCAAAAAGAACATCCAATAGTTACAAGGTGGGGGTTTCAGGATAGGTAAGTTGCTTGGCAACTCCAATATCAATGGTTTATGGCCGCTTTATGGTAAATATAATTTAATTATATATATATATATACTTAATGAAGTTCATAAACCAACAAACAAAACTGGGGAACCCTACCTTGTTGGTATATAAAACATGAAACCACAGGATATCTCCATCCTTGGTCGCGGCGCCTGCGACACCCGAACGGATGGCAAGTCCTCCGGAAATCGATTTCATGGAGAGTTGGAGGTGGTTACGGTTGTATATACCATCTGGTTATTTCACATAGCCATGGAAAGATCCACCATTTTTAATAGGTAAACCATCTATAAATGGGCCATTTTCCATGGCTGTGTTAAATAACCAGAGGGTATATATATATATACACATACATATGGTGATTTCCTAAAATGGGGGACCCCAAAATCATCCAAACTAGGTTACTATCAACGGGAAAACCAATGGTTTGGGGTACCACCATTTTAGGACCACCCCAGCATATATACATACGTTTATATATATATACAGTATATATTATTTATGTCAAATTGTTAATCTACAATTATGATAAAAAAAATGATAAACCCATCCCCCATTCATATTAGACACACCCATTGCAACGCCCCTAATGTTTGCCTTTATCCCCTACAGTATTTGTTACATTTGTTTTTACCATGGATTGGTTTGGGGTGTTTTATATGAATTAGGGAAGCGATTATATATGTGTAAAGGCGGTGTAGCGGAATGTCAAAATATCTATGCAGCATGCATTTGTTTCCGCAGCATGCCTTGACAGGCAATTCGAAAACATTCATCCAGACGAAACAAATGAGGGTGAACCACCCATTTCTGTGGGAATAGTGCAGGATCAAGGTATCAAACGTATACGGAATCAATAGCTGGTCGGTTGGGGCGCTTTACCCACCCAAAGAACAATAGTCCCTAGAATGGTTCGGATGTAGTGACAGAGTGGCCGAATGCATTCCTCCCCTCAACCAGCGGCTAAGAAATCATTGACAATTTACCCTCTGGTAAACTAACATAGCTATTGGAAATCACCATTTTTAATGGGAAAATCAACTATAATGGCCATTTTCAATAGCTATGTTAAATTACCAGAGGGTACCAATTTTTATCATTCATCGGATTTATCCGACAATAGGGTACCCAACATTCCCATGGTTTGGCTCATCATTTCCCCAACCAAGAATTGCCATGTGGGTGGCAACAGATCATTGACATACCAACGCAGTCGCAGTTCAATGAAACAAAACATCCTGGATTTGCTGAACCGCAACAACATGAATTATTCATGTTCCCCATATAGAATCATATAGATACCTGAAGTATCCTGAAGTAGTTGATTTCCCATCCCCATATAGATACATCAACCATTTTTATGGGGTACAAGTAGTTGATTTCCCATTGGGAAACAAAACAAAGCATCGCTTCAGCAAATCCAAGAGTATCCCAAGATATCCAATCAAAACCCCAAACCCGGATGGAAGCCTAAGTCATAGCGGGGCTGGATGTGTATTCCCCCAGTCATATGCTAATAGCCTCTGGTATTTTAACATAGCTATGGAAAATCATCGAATTTATAGATGATTTACCTATTAAACATGGTAATTGCCATAGCTAACTGTCAGTTTACCAGAGGGCAACTCATCTACCTATTAACATTTGATGACTACAGTTATGTATATATATATATCGCGATATGAAAATTATCCAATAATCCTAATGATCTATTGGATATATATATATATAAATAGTCATATATATATAATCCTATATTAACTAAAAATCTATCTCCAAATAAGGGACTCCAAGGACCTGCCCGTGGCTCCTTGCAATCTTCTCCTCTGGAAACCCCAGACTGAGTAGGAGCACCTTGGGTGATTTTAGGCCATGGATTTTAGGCCCGAGTTATACCAGTTATGCTGGTGATTTCTATGGTGATTTTGCTTGTGATCAAGGAATGGTTAACAATGGTTTATAGTGGCTAAACATGTGATTAATGAATATCAATGATGGTTAAAACAGTTATAACATCGTTATGTGTGTACTGAAATAACACCATAAAAATGGTCTATGTCAAATGTATAATCCACTAGATTCATATATATATATATAATCAGTCATAACCATCATTCATCACATGTTTAGCCACTATTAACTATAATTAGCCACTATTGATCATTATTAATCACCATCATCACCATGGCCAAGTTTCCGTAGCGTGAAACAAATGTGGCTTGAACCACCAAGAAAGATGGGATTTTTCCCAGCGAAATGGCCATGGGATTTTTACCGGCGAAAGAGTGGGAATATTTTACAGTGATGGCTGGCCATGGCTATTAGTGAAACAACTGGTTTTTAAAATGGGTTATACATCAACCATTTTTATGGGGTTATAACGGTTATAAGTATAAATACTTATCACTGGTATTTCGGGCCATAACTGCATGGAATATCACCAACAATCTGATGTGTGCTCGTGTCCAAAAAGGGGCTCCAAAATCCAGAGGTCAAAAATCGTCAAAAAACATCATGGCCCTAATATGGCCCACCAACCTTTTGGGGGTCATTTTACATCATTCCAAATAGGGCTCTTAATTGACACTGTCCAAGACCCAAGTGGTTTCACCATGGTCATCTGTCCCATTTTGTTCATGAAGCACACCTCAAATTCCACACGAAGGAATTTGAAGACAAGAAATTCATGGTCCAGTTCAATCAGTCTGTGGCTGAATTATTCTAATTCACCAACCTTCAGCTATCATACGGCCAGCTATCATCGGATGATTCCCCTTACATTCACCATCATTCCGGTGACGGAAAACGACGATTTCGGTCATGATCAAATACCTCCAAAATCCAGATAAATCTTTATAAATTCCATATAAATACCATTAAATCCCTGTATATATATATATAAAACCCATGAAATCACATCAAATCAACCATGAAATTAAATCAATATTCAATCCAAATAAATCCAGATAAATCTTAATAAATTCCATATAAATAACATATAAATCCCTATAAATCCAAGGCAGTAAACTTTCCATCTTCAACCACTGGCCCCATTGGCATCGCATTGGCATCGATCCATTTTTTCCTACCGAGGCACCCTCCCAAGATGCCGCTTAACACTGCCTGTGTCTGCCCGCGGCGTCACAGAAAGAAACTGGCAAAAACCATTGGAAATGATGGTGAATTATGGTGATTTATGGTGATTTATTGGGATTTGATGGTGATTTATGGTGATTTACTGAGATTTAAAGGGGATTTACTCGGATGTACTGTGATCTTTTAGATTTACTGGGAATTGCTGAGATTTATATAATATGATTTAATGGCATCAAAGGCACGAAGTTGGGGAACATAACTCCAACAACTACGGGACATAGTAGATACTACGAACTATTCACGGGGTGAAATTAAGACAACTTGTTTTACGTTTGGGGAGCCCACCTAGTCGGGGATATCCCGGGCTCAAGCTCCTCTACTGTACACCTTGTGTTTTCTTAATGAACGGACTCTCCTGTATGTTCTTTATTCTCTCTTGGTTCTAACTAACCCTACCCTTCAGAGGCCATATCCACTTCATTGAAACTGTTTCAGGCTATATTAACTCGCAAGAAAAATAGAACAGTGTTTCCAAGATGGTGGTTTGATGATCTTATCCACATATTTTCCAGTCTAGCTTTTCCATCTGTTGGCCAAAAAAACATCTCCGTGAATCACGGTGCGAAAAAGGCGGCTGGATCGTCATCTCACAGCCTGTGTGTAAAGCAAATTCCCATGATATATCATGATATAGACCTGCAATTGCCATATGGTTCTGGATCAAAACCCTGGGTACCCGGATGGTACCCACAACTGGGTAATGGATGTTAATGGATGGGTATTCTTCCAAATATATCAAATATGGTGTATATATATAATTTCATAGCTTTTGATTCCAATGATTCCAATTGTTTTTGGTGAAATCATGTCGCCCAACCTCAGCATTCTCTCGAAGCCGCATCAAGGAGTCGGAATGGCGTCGCGCCTGCGGCCCCATGCTGCAACATGTGGGCTGTGCGGAAAAGTTACGAACACCTGGATTTGTTTGGCCCGATATACCAATTATAAATGGTGATTAATAGTGTTTAATAATGGTTAATAGTGGCTAATGGTGATTAATGATGGTTATAACTCACTGATAAACGGGATTGTACATAAAACAATTTTATGGGGCGACTTAGTGACTTATTATCACTGGTATTTCGGGCCATAATTGTAGAAAATAAATGAAATTATGAGGACAACATCCTCGAAATACCATCCTGGAAATACGTGGCATATTCTCCAACAATTAGAACTGGGGGGCACCAATCATCCCCCGGTAATCAAACATGGCAATGGAACATCAATCATTTCCCAACACATACAAGGTGGGCCCCCCCAAACAGTTAAGTTGATTTGTGACTTCAATAACTATGGTTTATGCTAGATACATCTAGAATTCTATAGCTAATAAGCCAATAACTATATAAAACAGAGAAGGATTGTACTGTAATTCCAACTATTTATAGAGATATTTTGATATGTTCCACCGTTTTCCTGTGATTTTCCCATGACAAAACCTCAATTTTCAGACCAGATCAGCCACCACTCGCGCGTTTCCCAACCTGCTGGGCTTGCCACAGCAACACGCCGTAGCTCAAGCTGCCACAGCACAGGCCTGCAGATTCTTCATGTGTAGAACAACGACGACGACAAGAAGAAGAACAGAAACAACAGCAATACTAGCAAGAACAGCGAATTCAATAAGAAGAAAAACGACATCGATAATAAAAAACAAGAAGAAGAACAACAACAACACCATAAACAACTGGTATGACACGGGTAGTTCATTGATGTTCACCTCACCAAATACAGTACTTCTTGTGCTACGGAAGAATCCCTGTCTGTATATCCATCACCAGTTTTATACAAGTCTGTTTATAAATCCCAGGAATATTATGGTTGTATCCCCCATAAACCCTAGAATTCACAAAGTTATCTTCAGCTATCTAGCCACCAAAAGTAAGTCTGCCTCTGTATACGGATAAATTGTTTCGGGCTGAAGGTGGAGATGGCTATGACCAGCTCTTACACCAATGGGAATTTCAGGATCCTAAAATGGAGGTACGTTAGTACCATATTTTTGGCCATATTTTGTGGGGATATTCCCTTACATAGGCCTTACTTGCGATCCTGGAATTCCCATTGATTATATAGATGATGTAGGGAATCCACATACCTGGGGATTGTGCGAATCTTGCCGCATCCAATTCATCCTTTGAGATTTCGAACTTGCATGGATGCCGAATCCACAGTGATGGCTGGCCGTGGCTATTAGTGAAATAACTGGTTATGAATCTATGGGGTTAACCATTCCAGTTTTATGGGCTTAGTTCAGTACAAACATAACTGGTATAACTCGGGCCATAACTCTAAAATATATTACCCATTAATATTCCATCATCAATTCCCACTAATATTTGCATTAAATCACAATGACAAGCAAATATCAAGTTCTGACCACAAAAAAAGGTCCCCAATTGAAGGCCGCTTGGTTTCAAGGTATGGGTATCCACGGTCAGATAAAGAAATGTCTAAGAGTCCAGTCTACTTACTATTCATCCAATACGCAAAAAGAACATCCAATAGTTACAAGGTGGGGGTTTCAGGATAGGTAAGTTGCTTGGCAACTCCAATATCAATGGTTTATGGCCGCTTTATGGTAAATATAATTAGATTTAATTATATATATATATACTTAATGAAGTTCATAAACCAACAAACAAAACTGGGGAACCCTACCTTGTTGGTATATAAAACATGAAACCACAGGATATCTCCATCCTTGGTCGCGGCGCCTGCGACACCCGAACGGATGGCAAGTCCTCCGGAAATCGATTTCATGGAGAGTTGGAGGTGGTTACGGTTGTATATACCATCTGGTTATTTCACATAGCCATGGAAAGATCCACCATTTTTAATAGGTAAACCATCTATAAATGGGCCATTTTCCATGGCTGTGTTAAATAACCAGAGGGTATATATATATATACACATACATATGGTGATTTCCTAAAATGGGGGACCCCAAAATCATCCAAACTAGGTTACTATCAACGGGAAAACCAATGGTTTGGGGTACCACCATTTTAGGACCACCCCAGCATATATACATACGTTTATATATATATATATACAGTATATATTATTTATGTCAAATTGTTAATCTACAATTATGATAAAAAAAAATGATAAACCCATCCCCCATTCATATTAGACACACCCATTGCAACGCCCCTAATGTTTGCCTTTATCCCCTACAGTATTTGTTACATTTGTTTTTACCATGGATTGGTTTGGGGTGTTTTATATGAATTAGGGAAGCGATTATATATGTGTAAAGGCGGTGTAGCGGAATGTCAAAATATCTATGCAGCATGCATTTGTTTCCGCAGCATGCCTTGACAGGCAATTCGAAAACATTCATCCAGACGAAACAAATGAGGGTGAACCACCCATTTCTGTGGGAATAGTGCAGGATCAAGGTATCAAACGTATACGGAATCAATAGCTGGTCGGTTGGGGCGCTTTACCCACCCAAAGAACAATAGTCCCTAGAATGGTTCGGATGTAGTGACAGAGTGGCCGAATGCATTCCTCCCCTCAACCAGCGGCTAAGAAATCATTGACAATTTACCCTCTGGTAAACTAACATAGCTATTGGAAATCACCATTTTTAATGGGAAAATCAACTATAATGGCCATTTTCAATAGCTATGTTAAATTACCAGAGGGTACCAATTTTTATCATTCATCGGATTTATCCGACAATAGGGTACCCAACATTCCCATGGTTTGGCTCATCATTTCCCCAACCAAGAATTGCCATGTGGGTGGCAACAGATCATTGACATACCAACGCAGTCGCAGTTCAATGAAACAAAACATCCTGGATTTGCTGAACCGCAACAACATGAATTATTCATGTTCCCCATATAGAACCATATAGATACCTGAAGTATCCTGAAGTAGTTGATTTCCCATCCCCATATAGATACATCAACCATTTTTATGGGGTACAAGTAGTTGATTTCCCATTGGGAAACAAAACAAAGCATCGCTTCAGCAAATCCAAGAGTATCCCAAGATATCCAATCAAAACCCCAAACCCGGATGGAAGCCTAAGTCATAGCGGGGCTGGATGTGTATTCCCCCAGTCATATGCTAATAGCCTCTGGTATTTTAACATAGCTATGGAAAATCATCGAATTTATAGATGATTTACCTATTAAACATGGTAATTGCCATAGCTAACTGTCAGTTTACCAGAGGGCAACTCATCTACCTATTAACATTTGATGACTACAGTTATGTATATATATATATATCGCGATATGAAAATTATCCAATAATCCTAATGATCTATTGGATATATATATAAATAGTCATATATATATATAATCCTATATTAACTAAAAATCTATCTCCAAATAAGGGACTCCAAGGACCTGCCCGTGGCTCCTTGCAATCTTCTCCTCTGGAAACCCCAGACTGAGTAGGAGCACCTTGGGTGATTTTAGGCCATGGATTTTAGGCCCGAGTTATACCAGTTATGCTGGTGATTTCTATGGTGATTTTGCTTGTGATCAAGGAATGGTTAACAATGGTTTATAGTGGCTAAACATGTGATTAATGAATATCAATGATGGTTAAAACAGTTATAACATCGTTATGTGTGTACTGAAATAACACCATAAAAATGGTCTATGTCAAATGTATAATCCACTAGATTCATATATATATATATAATCAGTCATAACCATCATTCATCACATGTTTAGCCACTATTAACTATAATTAGCCACTATTGATCATTATTAATCACCATCATCACCATGGCCAAGTTTCCGTAGCGTGAAACAAATGTGGCTTGAACCACCAAGAAAGATGGGATTTTTCCCAGCGAAATGGCCATGGGATTTTTACCGGCGAAAGAGTGGGAATATTTTACAGTGATGGCTGGCCATGGCTATTAGTGAAACAACTGGTTTTTAAAATGGGTTATACATCAACCATTTTTATGGGGTTATAACGGTTATAAGTATAAATACTTATCACTGGTATTTCGGGCCATAACTGCATGGAATATCACCAACAATCTGATGTGTGCTCGTGTCCAAAAAGGGGCTCCAAAATCCAGAGGTCAAAAATCGTCAAAAAACATCATGGCCCTAATATGGCCCACCAACCTTTTGGGGGTCATTTTACATCATTCCAAATAGGGCTCTTAATTGACACTGTCCAAGACCCAAGTGGTTTCACCATGGTCATCTGTCCCATTTTGTTCATGAAGCACACCTCAAATTCCACACGAAGGAATTTGAAGACAAGAAATTCATGGTCCAGTTCAATCAGTCTGTGGCTGAATTATTCTAATTCACCAACCTTCAGCTATCATACGGCCAGCTATCATCGGATGATTCCCCTTACATTCACCATCATTCCGGTGACGGAAAACGACGATTTCGGTCATGATCAAATACCTCCAAAATCCAGATAAATCTTTATAAATTCCATATAAATACCATTAAATCCCTGTATATATATATAAAACCCATGAAATCACATCAAATCAACCATGAAATTAAATCAATATTCAATCCAAATAAATCCAGATAAATCTTAATAAATTCCATATAAATAACATATAAATCCCTATAAATCCAAGGCAGTAAACTTTCCATCTTCAACCACTGGCCCCATTGGCATCGCATTGGCATCGATCCATTTTTTCCTACCGAGGCACCCTCCCAAGATGCCGCTTAACACTGCCTGTGTCTGCCCGCGGCGTCACAGAAAGAAACTGGCAAAAACCATTGGAAATGATGGTGAATTATGGTGATTTATGGTGATTTATGGTGATTTATTGGGATTTGATGGTGATTTATGGTGATTTACTGAGATTTAAAGGGGATTTACTCGGATGTACTGTGATCTTTTAGATTTACTGGGAATTGCTGAGATTTATATAATGTGATTTAATGGCATCAAAGGCACGAAGTTGGGGAACATAACTCCAACAACTACGGGACATAGTAGATACAACGAACTATTCACGGGGTGAAATTAAGACAACTTGTTTTACGTTTGGGGAGCCCACCTAGTCGGGGATATCAGGCAACCGAGTGATGGGGATATCATGAGGATCATGGAAAGAATGGGAGAGCCAACCTATTTTGCCTGGTTATTTTTGGATGACTATTGGATGATTAATTGGAAGTGTCTGATGATTGTAGCCAATTATTTGACCATGATTATTGGAAGTGTCTGAACATTATAATATAATAATAATAATAAATACCACAGTTATTGGATGATAATACCAGAGTTATTGAAACATCATCAATAATAATAATCCATGAATACCCACAGTTATAGCATGAAATCGTAATGGCAAAATGGCGATCATCCTCTAGGAATTGGGGCCTACCATGGGGTACCCTATTTTCAGACAAAGCCATTTGCTATTGGTCAAAGTTTCATGTTGTTCAGTGCTTCACACGATGTCACATTCATAAGCACTGGAAACATGACTCGCTTGATTCTGAAATAGATAAAATTAGATAAATCTGGGAAAATTATCATATTTCACTACCCTGAATTAAGTTGCGGCCATTTGGGGGACGATTTCCCTAAACTTAACCATGATCTTTTAGGCTTCGGTCGAACGACGTCAGGTCGGTCGTGATATTGAAATTGACCCAGATAAAAAACCAATGGCTACATTGGAACAGCACTTAACGGTAGGATTTGCAGGATCTTCACAACATCTTCAGAAGAACCAAAACAAATATCATGTTGCGTTTGGTTATATAAATAAAAATGTTTGTCTATGTCTTGCAAAACATGTCATGACACACATATATATATATATATATATATATTATTTATCTATTTAAACTAAAAAGGAATGCAAAACATGGGGCACCCAGATTTGTCATCCCTCTCCAGAATATTCTCATGACATTGTTACTTGGTGGCTCATCCCACTTACGAAGTAGGTTATAACCCTAGTTATAATGTTGTATCCTGATTAGTGTCAAAGTTCGCTATTGTGTCCAATTTTTTTCCAAATCATTCAGGCCCCCAGCAATGTTTGGAAGGTTCACTATTGTGGCAAGAAATCTTGGCAGACCATGTTTTTCGTCCAAAAAGATGTTTGTAAAACAAACTGAACATTGTTTGTCTGGAGACAAGTCTTGCTTGTCTCCCTGTCCAAAAGAATCAGACCGCTTATTAAACCCTTATTAAAGAACAGTTTTTCCACAAATTTCCAAGGCACTGGGCCGTGAGGGGTCCAGTTCACTTTAGTAGATTTGTTCTCCGGGTTCACAATTGCAGCGAATATTATCTTTCTCTTCCTCTTCCTCTTCCCTTCCTCTTCCTCTCTCTCTATCTCTCTCTCCCTTTCTCTTTCTCTCTATCCCTTTCTCTTTTTCTTTATCTTTCTCTGATTACACATTCAATAAACAACATAAGGTGGAAAAGGTAACGCAATCAATATGCTGAACCCCACTCACTACAAGTGCTACAAGTACTACAAGTACTACAAATATCACAAGTTCATCGGCAAAAAACAGTTTTAATTAGATTTCAATTGTCGCCAATTGAAACCCTTACTTAAATGCGGGATCGTTTTTTTCTGGGGAGGAGTTTTTTGACACCAAACCTTAAAAAGGCTATAGCTATTGTTTGGGGGGTACACACAAATCAGGACGACATGATACGAAATCTGAAGTGGATTAACCCTACTTATCCCAAATGTGAAGTGGATTAACCCTACTTATCCATACTTATCCCACTTATACCCAGGGTTAACAACCCACAAAAACGATTCGTGGCTAGCTCGCCACCAGTTTGTCTACACCTTGTGGACAGCGTACGCCGTCTCGTTGGAGCCTGCAAGACAAGGTGAGGCACCGAAGTGATAGGTAGTCTACTGGCAAATTGTTTTAATGGGAATTTTCACCGGATGTATCAGAATTCATGTGGGTTTGAACGAGATTTCACAGGACTTACCGGGATTTCATGGGTTTGTTGTTGGGATTTAGATATATTCAGATAGCAAAGTTGGTGAACATCTGATGAATTCGGTTCTGAGTTGGATAACCATGGCCGTGTTACCAAGTAATGGTGAAGAAACTGGTTATGAATCTATGGGATTATACATTCATATACATTCCATAAATGGGGGTTAATGGGGATATAATGATATATACATTCCATAACTGGGGATTAATGGTTCTATGAATCTATGGGATTATAAATTGTTATAACTGGTTGTTTCAAAGGGATTAATGGGGATATAAAATGATATAAGCACTTATAACTGGTATTTCGGGCCATAACTGCACCTTGTAGACTATTCGAAGTCAGGGGCACCACCTTGCAGTGATGATGGGCGTGGCTTCAAAATCACAGCAACCTGCAGCGAAAAAAAAAACTTCAGAAGAACACTCCATATGAATATGGGCAATATGGCAATATGGGTATATGATCATTTATGGTTATCTGTGAATCCATGTTCACGGTCAGAACAATGCAGTGTCAGAACATATCAAAATTTATGATTATGATATACATATTCCACATTAACCATAAAAATGACATCGATTTTTCAGCAAACCATGTTGGATTGCCAGAGAGGGTATTAACCCTTCCCTTGAATCTATTTTAGATCTGTTCAACCTTCCCCGGTTAAACAAAATCCATTGGAATGCAACTGGATAGACCTCGAACCTCAAGTTACCCAACAAAAAGCAGTGCCTTACTGGTGCTAAACGTAGGGAATGGATGGGAATGAGGGAATGGGATGATTATTGATAGTTATTGTGGATCATTCCCTCAAAATAAATGTCAACGCATCTTCATCTTTCCCCATTGTATCTTTCCGAATGGTTTCAATCCGTTCCATCAATTCGGATCATGATGGCAGAAAGCGGTGCACCGACAAAAAAAAACATGAAACCATCATCAAATACAGGTATGGCCCTTTACCAGTTATAAGTAAATAAGTACTTATAACCACATTGATTAAACAAGTATAATCCCATTATTATAACAGGTTATAACTAATACATTGCCATATAAACTAGTCATGGTCGACAGGGGGTGGCTAAATGTCCTACTTGGGGATATTTTATCTCCAACAAATGCTTGTGATTGCGTGATGTTCAAAATCGTCAAATTCAGGGGACATGCACCAACCATGATGATGAACATTATACCATGATTTGACCACACATTAGATGTACCAAGCCCTGGTAGATGATCACTTCAACAATCGATCACTTCCCCACAACTCTGTCTCAAAGTCCCTGGCCTCCATCCTCATAGATGCGCACAGGAAGCGTAGATTCCATGAAATACAGGTTGGTCCAGAGGGATTCGCAATATATTGATTACAGTTATGGCCCGGAAATGCCATAAATACCAGTTATAAGTGCTGAATTGACCACATTTATGGAATGTATATGAATGTATTTTCCCATAGAAATAACCAGTTAGTTCACCATTTATGATTGCTATTTCCGGCCGTAACTGTAGCTAAGCAGCCACTGCACTGACATGGTCCTTGGGAACCATTGACTGTGACTGTAATATGGTGGATGGTTGCGAAATCCTGCGCCAGTTGATAGATGGTTTATCCCACTATTTATAGGGTTTCAACTGGTTCAACCATCCAAGCGGCATCTGAAACATATTAAACCTATCGGATGGTTATTCGAAACTGGTCTGAGTGGTGTTGGCAATACTCTCTTGACATAAAATCAAGAGTAGTTCTTGTTGCGTGGGGATTGAAGGCCAATAGACCCGAAGGCTTTCGATGACTTTATCAACACACAGCAGCATACGTCAAGAAACCTCTATGTGGGTTTGTGGGGAAATGGGGAATACCATCACAATTTAAACCAACTTTCCACGGTGACAATTATGGACAAAAACATAGTGTCGAGGCACAAAATGCTCATTTGCGAGACGAAATCATTTATGAAAGCAAACCCTGGAGTGATGGTGTTGGATATTGGAGTGTGGATGATCATTTAGACTTTGTGGAGATTGCGTCAAGGGTCAGAAAAAATGCATGTACCAATCCTTGAGACTCATTGGCTGGTGGAATAATGATGTAGCACTATGTATACGTGTATATATATATACACCATAATATTATGATTGCAATCACGTTGAAATCATCATGCAAACTATCCTCATTCTTGGGACAGCTTCAATGTAAACTCCACAATCTCCCATCCACAACCACCACTTCGCATCAGCCGTGGCTATTGTGTGAGCCAAGCTGGTTGAAGCGGTAAACATGCAACAGTAACACAAAGCTTGAAGTGGCAAAATCCAACTGGTCAAAAAGTGGTTGTGGCAAATGTATAATTTTCTAGTTTTAAAGTGATTTCTTTCATTTTCTAGTCACTATAATTTTCTAGTTTGTAGTCACTATAATTTATCAAATATATCTCCACCAAGTCCTTGTTTTTGGAGTTACGTTCACCAACTTAGCTCCAAATCCTATTGAGTCCAATGAAATCATCGTTGCTGCTGGTAAAAGTACATATATATATACTTAATTTTACTTATTTAATATATATTTATTTAATATATATATATATTTAATATATACATATTTATATACAATAGATATCGTGTATATATATATATCACCATATATCACCCGATACCTGGACCAGGCCAGGCTTCCCCAACTTTTTTCACAAATTACCATGCATGATTTACTTCACATGACTTCCCCTAAGCTAAGCTCCAATGGGAAATTGACACTAAGCTTCAAACACAATTAAAACAATTATAATTACACTATTATACAAGCTATACATATTCCACACCATGGATAACTCATGACGACTATCCATTCTAGCATTTTGGCCTGGTATAAGTGGTCTGACTGGTATGACTGGTATGAGGTATGACTCAGGGCATGTGATTGGCAAGCCAGGATGCACATCTTTAGTTTCCTGCTGAAAACAATATGTTTGTCCACGATTGTAACTGTTATGCGCTTCGCCCTCATTAGATTATGCCTATTTGTGTGCGTCCTCTTGATGACTATGATTCCCTATGGATCCAAATACCTAAGAAAGCACTTACCTCATCATACATCATTTTTGTCTCACTCAGAAGGTATGGCTGGATCCATAGTATAGGGATTAATGATGGCCACGTTTTGATTCTTGTCGGATCTACAATATCATTCATCAATATTATATTGAATCTATATGTACCATCGGTAATCAAACATGGCAATGGGAAACCCCCGAACTAGTCATGGAGGTTTAGTTCGCTGGGAAAACCATGCCTTTAAATGGAGGATTTTTAATTGCCATGTTTGATCACCAGAAGGTACCATCTAGTTATTTAACATAGCCATGGAAAATCCCTCATAAATGGAGGTTTCTAGCTGGGAAAATCATCTATAAATGGGCCATTTACCAAGGCTATGTTAAATAACCAGAGGGTACTTGATTAATGTCATAAACCCAAGAATATAACATCCCCAAATTCACTTGAAACGGGTGGTGTAATCATTCCAAAACTGGAGGTTTACGACATTGGCTTTACCACAGCTATGGCCATTTATTTGCTATCACTGGTTATTTCTATGGTTCTTTCAATGAAATTATTCCATTTTTATGGGCTTAATTCGGGACATAACTGGTATAACCCGGGCCACCGAAATCTGCACCTTTTCCGAAGCACCCAGGTGCGCGAGGTCCCGGCGAGACGCCGATATCTACGGTTGGAACGAGCGATGTCTACGGCTCCGACGGAAAACAATGTATGTTTAGGAAAAGATGCTCTGAAACCTCTGAAGATCTCTGAAGAACACCAGTTGCCCATGAACCCCTCTAAATGGTCAGGTTTCATGTATATATTATATATATATGTTCATTTTATCTCTCTTACCTATGGGTTATAGTTGTGGGGAAGTGTGGATAAACCCTCCATTAGTCAACCAACCAGTGGCAAAAAGACATCCGTCAATTCCATTGATACATGGTTGGATCATGAAATGGAGCAAACTTGTGTTCCTATCATGGTTACCCTCTGGTAAACTTAAAAAAAACTATGGAACATCACAATGTTTAATGGGAAAGTCACTATAAACTGCCATTTTCAATAGCAAACTGTCAGTTTACCACAGATTAGATGTTTTTTTGCTGGTTATAGCTGCTGGTTCGTGGGATCGTCAAATGGGGGAATCTGCATGCCGCACCAAAGATACAAGGTGATGCCCCGCTAGTTCATCATATATCAATCTTAAACTATACTTAAGCTAGTTCTAAACAACTTGGCTATCGGATCGATCGTTTGGGAGCACCACCTCATCAGTTGATTCATTTTCATCGGAAATCATTGATGGAATTGCATGGAAAATTCTGAGAACGGGGCATGGCAAATAACTAAGTACAGTGATGGACCGAGATACCAGCTATAAGTACTGAACTAATCCCATGTATGGAATGTATAACTCCATGGAAATAACCAGTTATTTCAAGTTATTTCACTAATAGCCATGGCCATAACTGTAGAGATTCTGCGAGGAACATTTCAACATATTTCAACAGTCTGCAGATCCCAAGTAACTCGCAATGGATTCTAAAAAAAAACGCAAACATGGGGATGAACACCCGACAGCCCCGTAAAGCTCTTGTTGCACTGGCTCCCCTAGCATCCCCTAGCTATAAGTTGATGAATACTATTGAATACTGTTATATCCTAGACCATAGTTATTGGATGTTATTGGAGTTATGTCTACCAACTTAGCTATCATGCCAGGGCGTCGAACCTTGCAGCATTCGATTGAATACTCAGATTAATAGATGGTTGATAAATCCTTACTCCCTTTTTCCATGCTGAGCTTCTCCTTTCGGTTCGGCTCAAATTCTGCCTCATCCTCAGGGTTCATCCTGGCGTTGTAGCCAGGTTTCAATAGGAACTTTGACCAATTGAAATCGGGGGTTGAAAACTACTCATATGATAAGAGCAACCCCCTTTCAAACGTTAAAAATCTATAAAAAATCTTACTGGTGCTTAGTAGGGAATGAGGGAATGATCCATAATCACTAGTAACAATCATCCCATTCCCCCATTCCTATCCATTCCCTACTAAGCAACAGTAAGAAATGTTATGTTCGGAACAGTATGTCCTTTCCCCAGTGGAGGTTGTCCAAAGATGGGCTTCACCCAAGATGAGGCTACAAGGTGGTGACCCCCAAGTTATGTCTGTTGGTTTAAAAACTTCATGACCTACAATGTGGGCCCAAGATAGCTAAGTTGGTGCAAATAACTTCAAAAACTAGGCCTTATGATACGCAAATAGCTATAGTTAATGGATACTTATAACATTTATAACTATAGTTAATGGGGGCTATAAACCAACTTATAACGGGGGGCACATTGTACTTCTAGGTATCTACCATTCACCACCGAATTTAGGCCCGAGTCATTCCAGTTATGTTTGTCTCTGAAATAACCCATAAAAATGGAATGTACAATCCCAATGAAATAACCACTTATTACAACTGTAGGTATCTACCATACACCATAAATTGACCTAGTTCATCTTTACCAACTTCGCATCTTTGCAAATAAGAAGCACCACCTTGCACCATTACAGTAAGTTACATCAGTCATGGATAATGATATATCCCAATACATAGCTTAATGTGTTAAAACATAATATTTTATAGATGGTTGATAAATCGTTTTTTCATCATGATAGCCTATTATTATCTAGAATTATGGATATCATTAGATATCACTAGATATTACCTAGTTGTTGGTGAACATTTTTTTTCAGCGCAGCCGGATCCCCACCCTCAGCTCCTGAGCATCTTCATCCAGAAGGCCTTGCCTGAAGGACTCCGGCGTTCAGCTGGTTTTCATATATTAATTTATGGCCATTGATAAGTTTTAACTGGTTATGAATCTATGGGATTATACATTCCATGTTTATGGGGTTCTAACGGTTATAAGTACTTATAACTGGTAAAAGGGCCATAACTGGAAGATTTGGATGGACAATTGAAACGACACATTTGTGTTTAGTGGGCTATTATGCTTATTGATCCCCCGCCAAAAGGTTGACAACCTTTATAGATAGTGAGAACTGTTTGGCGAAACTGTCTTTTGCCCCGCAATGACTGAACGTCTAAGTGCATGTCTCAGCAGCAATAGCGAGCAATCCCATTTACATCCTTTAAAAAGAAAACTGAACAAATCCCGAGCACACACTTTACACAACCCATAATTCGCCCTGTACCGAAACTTGCAAGTTTACCTTTAGTGGTTTCAACTCATCCCAACAATACCAGTCTATCCAGTCTGACATCTTCGATGAACAGCTCCAAGAAACAAATTCCAAACCTCCAACGGCAATGA